GCCTTCGATGCAGCTTGATTTCATTATATCAATTGCTGGATCGTTCTGACTGCACCGCTCAGTTTACTAACAAATCATGTGTTATTCGGGACCGCACTTCGCAGAAGGTAATTGGCGCGTACTTCTTTCGAGAGACGGTTTCTACGGCAGTTTCTTGTGTTCGGAAGGTTTCTGCCGATGTGTGGCATCAATGTTTGGGTCATCCGTCTGCTCAAGTATTGTCCCAGGTTCCTATTATTGATTCTAGTTCCTCTCAGTCAGACTGTTAGTCACGAGACTTTTCATTTGATTCATTGTGATTTGTGGGGTTTGTATCGTGTTCCGTCCTTCTGTGGTGCACGATATTTTTTGACTATTATGGATGATTGTTCCCGTGGAACATGGGTTTATTTATTGAATGATAAGACGGAGATTGCTTCCACATTGTTGAATTTTTTTTCTATGATTAAGCGACAATTTGATAAATTGGTGCGTGTTGTTCGTAGTGATAATAGAAGTGAGTTCATGTGTTTGGCCTCTTATTTTCGTTGTCAATGAATTGTGCATGAGACTTCTTGTGTAGGCACTCCTCAGCAGAATGGGCGTGTAGAACGCAAACATCGACATATTCTCAATGTAGCTCGTGCTTTGTGTTTTCAGGCTCATTTGCCTCTTCGCTTTTTGGGTCATTGTGTTTTGACTGCGGTTTATCTGATAAATCGGACTCCTTCATCGGTTTTACGTGGTAAAACCCCATATGAGATTCTTTATGGTTCGGCTCCTTCTTTGTCTCATTTGCGGGTTTTTGGTTGCCTTTGCTATGCTCATAACCAAGGTCGTAATGGTGACAAGTTTGCTGCTCGGAGTCGTCGTTGTCTATTTGTTGGTTATCTTTTTGGCAAAAAGGGGTGGAGTTTGTATGATTTGGATCGTTAGATTTTCTTTGTCTCTCGTGATGTAGAGTTTCTTGAGGCTGAATTCCCATACCAATCAGACGCGTCTGAGCCAGATTCTTTGCCACCGCCTCTTGTTGTGCCCGTTTCTTATACGTCGAATGATGATGAGGATCTTCCGGTTGTTCCTTTGCCTCATGTTTCTCCTGATACTGGGTCTTCTGCTACTGTTATGGACACGTCTGACGATAGGAGAGGTTCCGTTACCACTACCCCTCCCACTTTTCCAGTGGAGCCCTTGGGTCGTGGTCATCGGACTAAAGTTCCTTCTACTCGGCTGAAGGACTTTGTGGTTGACACTGTCCGGCCCTCGAGTGAACCCCCCACTGTTTCTCCCCAGTCGTCTCCATCCTCCGGTACCCTTATCCCATAGCACATTATGTTTCTTGTGATTCATTCTCTCCAGCTCATCGAACTTTTTTGGCTGCTATCGCCTCTACTGTTGAGCCTCGCACTTTTGCTGATGTTGTGACTGATCCTCGATGGCGAGCCGCTATGCAGGATGAGATTCGTGCCTTAGAGAATAATGGCACGTGGGATGTAGTTTCTCTTCCATTTGGGAAGCGTGCGATTGGGTGCAAGTGGATCTTTAAGATCAAGCATAAGTCTGACGGTTCCGTTGAGCGCTATAAAGCGCGTCTGGTGATTTTGGGCAATAATCAGGTGGAAGGTCTTGACTATCACGAGACGTTTGCTCCCCTTGCCAAAATGGTTACAGTCCGGTTATTCTTGGCTGTGGCTGCTGCTAAGCATTGGGAAGTTCACCAGATGGATGTTCACAATGCTTTTCTTCATGGTGATTTGGCTGAGGAAGTTTACATGAAGTTTCTTCCTGGTTTTCGTTCTGGCGTTGATGGGCAAGTTTGCCGTCTTCGTCGTTCCCTCTATGGCTTGAAACAGGCCCCCCGCTGCTGGTTTGCCAAGTTGACTACGGCTTTGAAGCAGTATGGTTTTTGTCAATCTTATCATGATTACTCTTTTTT